CATTGATCCATCCCAACCTATTGTTAAAGATTGTCTTAACCTCCAAAATAATAGGTCTGTTCTCAAAGGCTCGTTTTCTTCTCTAAATCCCGTTTTTCCTCTAAAAAATGGTATGCATGCTAGTTTTTCTAAAAATGCTTGGACTGGAAAAAAGTCTAATTTACTTCCTAACTCCTTTGCTCATGTCCTTAGTGGGTCTAACAAGCATGCTAATGATAATTTTCATTTTATTCCTCATCTTTGTGAAAATGTGGACACCCCTATTGATATACCTTTATCGGTTGTCAAAAAGAGTTGTGAAACATATGCTAAAACCTTATGCGGTTATTTTGTTGGTAAGCGCCTTCCTTTCCCGGTTGTTCGCTTTTATGCCTCAAAATTGTGGTCTCAATATGGTATTGAAGATGTGCTCTTGAATGGTCATGGTATTTTTTTGTTTAAATTTAGCTCTGTTGATGGCCTCCAACAAGTTATCGATAATGGCCCTTGGAATTTTAAAAACGTTCCTATTTTTATTCAAAAATGGAGACCGGGACTTAATTTAAATTCCAATTTACATGATAAAATTCCTCTATGGGTTCGTATACATGATATTCCGTATGATGCTTGGAATGATGAGGGTCTTAGTCACATTGCTAGTAAAATAGGTATACCTCTTGCTATGGACTCGTGGACGGTTAATATGTGCAAATATGCGGCCGGTAAATCGGCTTTTGCCCGTGTCCTTCTTGAGGTTCCTGTTAGGGAGAATTGGATTGATGAGGTGAATGTCCGGATCCCCGACCCGGACACTCTTGCTATGACTTTGTATACTCTTCGTGTTGAATATGAATGGAAACCCCCTATGTGCACTGAATGTCATATTTTTGGTCACTCTAATTCCTCTTGTTTGAATGCTATTTCAAAATCTGAAACTAATATGATTACTACAAATGAGCAACCATCTTCGGGCAAGAAAGTTTTGATTGATAGTGAAGGCTTCCAGACCCGTGTCACCAAGCAAAGCCAAAAGGCAAAGACACTGTTACCCACCATGAGGAAGGAATACAAGAAGAAAGAGACCCGCCCCAGTACCTCGAAAGGAAAGCAAGTTGATGCGAAGATGAAGGAAAAGATGACGGGCCCCCCTCGTCAAGAAGCTCCGAAGGCTGCTAGACTGAACCCTTCCCCAAGGGTTCCCCCCCC